ACAGACTTCTGGTTGACCTCTAAGCAAGTAAAAATCGGATGGCCACACACTGGGTGACAAAGCGACACTAACACCTCAAAGGTTCAAAGAATTAGGACAAAATAAAAGTCGTGATGGAATTTCAGGTAATGACGAACAGCTCGGAAATGTGGCAGGAGTGTTTAAATCACCATAAGGCATTAACTTAACATCGACACTGAGTAAGTCTTTCGAATAACAGCGCTCAAAGTGATGTCAAGGCAAAGCTTGTTACGCGAAATGCTGTCTTAAGTAATCGTAGCCAGTAAAGAATGAATACATTTGCAAAGCATCTGAAAATAGCTCTACTTCTACGATCTTCCCGTGAAAGCATTTGGAAACGTGGGTAGCGTTGCTTTGACTTCACTCCACAACATATAAAGTGCGATAACTCGACGTGAGTAGAAAGCGATGCAGGATCTTCCCACCTTGGTTTAGGGCAGCGTAGGAAAATGATGACCCACAGGACCTGTTTTTATATACTTGCATACTTCCCAGAGTCCAAGTTGTCAAGGCACAGGGATAAAGCAGACACCCCCTCAAAGATGATGAGAACCCACTTCTGATGACATAACTCTACCTTAGCTGAGTATGGAGTATTTCTTTCCAGCTAAATTCGTCGAAATTTTTAACATAACCGACCTTGTAACCATAACTACTGCTATGTGAAAGGGACCTCAACATTCGACTTCTCTCTAAATCAAGCAATTTTCCAGGATGGAACAGAGAACAAGATTAAAATTATGCAGTTTACAATCAGTTTGTCTGCATTTTTTACCACAGGAGAATGGTTACTAATGCGCTAAGGGTAGGAGATCACCATCAATGCAGAGAGGATCGAAGGAGGGTACGGTGAGGAGCGAGCGAAGTGGAATTGTAACTGAAACACCACCATGTACACATGCTCTGGTGCGGAGATAGATGCAAATGGGAGGGAAAGAGCATTGAGGCTGAGGCAAAGGAAGTAGTCCAACAACCTGAAAAGCCGTAATTTCGAAAATATAAGAAATACGAAATCAGTGAGGGAACGAATGGGCAGGTGAGTATGAGGGTAGAAAGGAGAAACGAGGAGGCGATCAGAGGGAAGAGGACGAGAGGTTGGGAAAAAGAGAGAAACGGCGAAGTGTTCTCAAGCTGCTGTGTCCTCGTTATTTCCGTTGATAGAGACCGTCTGAAGACCAAGCTCAAGACGCTCCGTGTTCTCGTCGACCTCGTCCTCGTCCAGGTTCGAAGTGGGTGTGCTGCGCCCTGAGGTGCGGTTGGGACTGGAACTGCGGGAAGCACTAGGCGAAGGCGGTGCCGAGAACGGGCGACAGAGGCGAAAACTCTTTGCTGAGCCGGCGTCATCGTCCCCATCCACCCGCTCCACGTCGCGTGTGAATAAATCCGGACGCTGGCGGTAGAGGGCCACTAAGCGTGCCCTGCTGTAGTACTGAAAGGAGGCAGAGCAAAACGACATTGAAAGTAAGCCTGTAAATGATATATCAATCCCCATTTCTCACACAAATAATTCAGTAAACTAGAATTACTTAGACGCCCCATTCAATGTCGGCATGGAAAGCTAGTCAGAGTAAAAACGACTACTTCCCAATTTTTATTACTCAGATGTTCGATTGCAGAGCCATGTTCTGCTAAGTACGACCAAGAAAAAAGGCATTTTCTCCGAAGATCAGGAGCCAAAGTTATGGGCGAAGCAGTGACACTGTGGTATCGATAGGGCCCATTTTTTGGATTGTGGCTGCGTTGGTGACACTGTGACGGAAACGTCTACCTGATTGTTTATATGCCTCCCTCCCATTACCACCGCCCAGTGCAAGATGCGTCAAATCCTATTTACCAATAGACTTTGAGCTAGCCGTCTGCCAAATGATGAGCCTCATTATAAGACAATATTTACAGTTTTCAGCTAAGACGGTTTACTCTAAACCGGAAGAGATCAAAAATCCTTCCTGTTATAATAGTGTCAAAGTCTATATCCAAACGATTAGAAACCCTCGGAAGTAGTAAAACGGATTGACGGGTTGATCAACACGAAATACTGAAAAATAAGACGTAATAGCTACTAAAAGGAACATGGCATAGGATTGAAGACTGGTGTCAAGGTATCTGCATAAACAGCTACTGAAACCACAACAGCTCCACGCCAGCAACACGAACCGTATGAGCAACCGTCACCCTCACGGAGGTGTTCGATCATGCGATCGAAAACCTGCGTCCACGATGCGCCAACAATCAGATTTGAACGTGCAAAAATCTATCGCGCTGTGATTTGCCATAGATCATCCCAACAACAAAAGCCTAAACAGTGATATGGAGTAGACGATAATCGGTGCACAGATCACGCGGCGTGACGATCAGAAAGGCATTGGTAATGGGCTAATAATAGTAGCACTAGCAATAGCAATCGAAATTCGCGCATATAGGCGCAACAACATGAACAAGGTGTAATGAATAAAAGCTTGGTGTTGCCTTAAATCTACTAAACGGCCACATTAAACAGCCTTGACCCAATGATGAATCATCGTAGCATATTTGGAGTGAGGGCAAGGGAGTGTTCAAAATTGCAACTTTGAAAGCGACTCTTGGGTGCGTATGTGTGTGGAGGGACGACGTTCATAATGAATTATCATTAGGCGTGCATCCTGCCTACTAAGACTAAAAGCTGGCAACTGTGAAATCGCAGTAAAAGTTAAGCGATCCTGTGGTCAGTCTTTGCTGAGAACAGACATCTTAGAGTAGCTATGAACTTACTACACCGAGATTTTTCCAATCAAGCAGTTCACTGAGTCGCTCAGTTCGGTTTCGCAAAATGACACGCTGCCTTCGCGAGTACTGACAGAATTCATGCAAACACTGTAACAGATGAATAGACAAAGTAGTGAACACGTCTGAGTTGCAACTACTTTGGAAAAAGGAATTTGATAAAGTGAAAAACTTGAAACGTTTTAAGAGCAGCATTCGCATATGACTGTTATTGCCCTACAAATATAGCATGGTGAACATTTTAATTGCACTTATGAGTACAAACTAATGGAAGCTGTCACAGAATGATGATATTTTAAAGAAAATGTGTAAAGCAAACTAATCACATGGAGATAACTTGACATTCAGAGACAAATGCGGAGACATGTTGCTTCTAAATGCTCTTCAGATATCAAGACTACGCATATCTTGTTCACTAAGCTAAT